TAGTAAAAGTAAATTATAATTATTATAATAATTAAAATTTTTTCTAATATAAGTAATAATAATTAATAATAATAAAATATTTTCTAGTAATAATAATAAATATTTTAATAACAATAACAGTGATAACAATAAAATATTTTACTAAAAATTATAAGCTAAGTATATATAATAATAGTAAAAGGGACCGTGCTTCGAGCTGAGTATCGGAAAAGGATCGCCGATTTTCCAAAACAAGTATATATAAGCCAACCACAACGAAAAAGATAATAAGAAAGAAATCCGCTTCCGCTTAACTGAGTAAAAAAATATATAATAAAAATAATATTTTTTAAAAAAGTTTTCATACAAAAATAGGATAAAAGTAGTTTTATATATAGAAAGTTTTTTTAATATTGATAAAAATACTAAAATGTATTACACTTAAAATTTATTTAGTAAAAAGTTTTTTAAAAAAATAATATAGAACAGTTCTTTTATATAATAAAAAATTGTTAACATATTAAAAAACTAAAAAATATTGCCTCTATAATATTTTTAGTAAGAATGCTTATAAAAATAGTTTGAGTAGTTTTATATAATATAAAAAGTTTATTAAATTAATAAATAAATAAAAATTTATCACTTTCATAAATATTTATTTTAAAAAGTTTCTAAAAATACAAAATAAATAAAAATGTATTACTTTTATAAATATTTGTAGTAAAAGTTTTAAATATAAAAATAGTATAATAATTTTTAATAAAATAAAAAGTTTATAGCTAAAATAATGCAAAAGTTTTCGATAATATAAAAAATAAAAATTTATCACTTTTATATATTTTTAAGTAAAAAATTATAAAAAAATAAAAGCACATTATAAATTATTAATAATAATAAACAAAATAAAATAGTAAATATTTTTTATAATAAAAAATAAAGTTTTAAAAATATTCTTATAAAAAAATTAAATAATAATAAATGTATAAAGATAAAAAATATTTTTTTATAACAAAAAACATTTTATTTAGCTCTTTCTAAATCTTTAAATATAAAACTTTTACAAATTTATAATAACAAATGATATTTAATAAAATTTTAATAAATTTTTAAAAAAAATATAAAATAAACAGAAAAACAATTTGTAAAAGTTAATAAAAAAATAAAATAAAATTAAAATTATTACTTAAATATTATTTTAAAAAAAAATTATTTATAATAAAAAAGTTTTAATAATAAATAAAAAACTTTATAAATAATAAAAATCACTATGAAAAATAAAATATTATTATAATAAAAAATGGTAATTAACTAAGATAAATTAAAAATTATTTCTTTAATAAATAATTTTATTATCAGATAATTTTATAATAAAAATATTTATATTAAATAATTTTCAATAAAAAATTAAAAAAAGCATTATAATAATAAAATTCAAAAGGAAAAATAAAATATTATAATAAAAAAATATTAATTTAATTAGTAAATTTAAAAATGAATTCTTTAATAAATAGTTTTATTATCAGATAATTTTATAATAAAAATATTTATAATAAAAAAGTTTAATGAATAAAAAAAAAAGAATATTACAAAAACAAGTTTTAATAAGAAAAATATAATATTATATTATTTACAATAATAAATAATACTTTACTTTTTTTTATAATAAATCTAATTTAAAAATAATAATGAAGGTATTTAAAAAATATAGTAAATTTTATATATAAAATTTATAAATCATTTCAAGAGTTTGTCTGTGCTTTGCTTTTCTAATTTTTTTTTTAAAATTAGATGATTAAATAAAAATTATAAATATAATGAAGACGGGCTCCCAAAAATAAAAAATTACAGAACTGAATCTTATATTGAAATGAGTTAGAAAAATAAATAATATATTAAATATAAAATAATTTTTCTAACTTTCCAATTACAAAATTAATTGTCAAAATTTAAAAATAAAATTAATAAAATTTTAGTAAAAAGTAAAAAAAACCAATAGAAAAACTTTGAACAATTATAATAAAAGTGTAAAGCGGGCAGACAACTATTAAATTCAGCAATACAGCGTAGATGGAAATGTTCCAGAAGTACAAACGAGATCTATTAAAAATTATAATTTTTAAAAAAATCATAAAAAAATATTATTAAAATAATAAAATTAAAAAAAATTATAATTATAGTTTAAATGCTTCTACAGTTTAAATAAAAAGCAATGAAATATTATAAATTTAAATTATTTTTGAATAAAAAAAGTGTTTTAAATTTACCAGTGAAAAAAAGGAATTATAGAAATTTTTAAAAGTATAAAAAGTAAAAGTTTAACTTAAATTTATTATAATGTTTTAAAAAAAGTTTATATAAAAAAAATTAAATTTACAATGGTTATGAGAAAAAGAAACTTTCAAGAAGTTGAAAAATATTTATATTAAATCAATAGTTTTAGATTAATTAAATAATTATAGATTTTAAAAAAGACTTAATGTTTAGTAGAAAACTTAGTAAAGTTTTTAAAATTATAAATTTTTTAAAGGTTTTTGAAAATATATTATTCTTTGAATAGGTATTCAAGTTTATTAGAAAAATATTTTAATAGCAACTATAAATATTATTTTTTACTTAAAAAAATAAATGGATAAACTTCTTTAAAACTGTTATGTATTTTTAACTTTTTTTTAATAAGAAAATGAATAAATAAATAATATTTTTTTTATATAGTCGTGTAAATGTAAATAATATTAAAAAAAATGCAAGGAAAACAAAAAGGTTTAAAAAGTTGTAATGAAAAATCTAAATTAAGAAAAAAAAATTAAAGTTCGAGATATTAAAAGAAAAATGCGAAATTATACAAGTTAAAACTAAACTACCGTGAATTCATTATATTCATAATCTCAAAAACTATAAGTTCAAACATGGTACCTACGCATTTCAATAATTTGAAAAATAAATTTTTTATATACATAACTATAAAAGTATTTAAAATTATTATTTAATTATTAAAATTATGAAATAAGTACAACATCTAAAGTTCTTACAAGATAGCGTAAACATTGTGGAAAATATTATCTGCACAGAACGAGATCTTATTTCAAAATTCCGGAATAATTCTCGTACAAAGAAGATCCAACCGACACCTAATTAATTTTATAATTAAAAAGTAGACATAAAGTACAGTAATAAGTTAAAGTAGTCTTTATTTATTATTTTATTTAACAAAAAATTTATTAAAAGGAAAAAGGGATAATGCAAAAGAATATAAGCAACCAAAGAAAGCCGACCAAGTAGCAAGCATTAATAAAAAGTCTTTGGTTAAAGCAAATAATCCAAAATCTTCAAAATCATTAATAGACATGTTACACCGAAAGATTTATAAATTTCTTAAGTAATAATAAATTTTTCTACTTATTAAACTCGCAAAAACATAAAAATACGACTCTTGATAATACTTTCTAAGATTATTCAGGCAAGTGAAACTGCAGTTATGTAAAACGTAGTATCCTACTTGCAAGTCCGCAATTGTTCATTTATACACCTATAAAGGGCACTTCTAAACCGCCCATTTAGGCACATGCTTCATTTTTGAGATTTCAACAAGCGTAGGTTGAGCTAAGTGCGTATTACGAGTGTTCGATCTTCGCGTTTCCTTTCAACTTATTTAAGCAGTATGTTTAATTAAAGTGGTCGCAGTTAATTTATTTACTTTTTTGTTTATTTTTTAAAAGAGCATAAGTTTTGAGGTTAAATAAATTTAAATAGCGTGATTCACAACGAAGGTAAAGACCTGCTAAAGCGCTAAAAATACTAAATTCGACTTCATGACATCCAACTTAGAGAACTATAGAATTCACTTGTGTACGAGTATAAATTTTTTTTTGCTATAACTACTATCCAAAAGAATTGAATTGGATATGCATTTTGAAGTACAGAATTGCATATATGTAAATAAGCCTTTGATCTTAAACTATATTAAATATTTAACGTTTTAATAACATGTCCCTTAAATCTTAAAAAGCTACAACTTTTTTCCTAAAAATTGAACTGGAAGTCTGGTAATATAATTAAACCATTCTTTGCTGCCCTTCCTCTAGCTATTCTTTTCCTATGCGATACAAGTAAATAGCAAATGCGTTATAGTGTGTTTGCTAAGTTGAGGGAGTTTGTTATGAAAACAACTAATTTCCACTTTAGACGGACGAAAAAGTGTATAAGGCAGGGGAGAAAAAATCGATAGAAATAGAGAAACTTTTAAGGAAATCAAATACAATTAATGTTCTTCTGTAGCTTAAAGACATCCGGTCTCTTTTTCATATAAGGTAACCCTCAGTTTTTACTTTAACCCTTTAAGCATTACTTTTTGAAAATGAGAATTTACTATTTTTTCTGCTAAATTTGGTTTAAATATGTTTGAATTAAAAAAAACGCAAAAAAAAACTTTTTTTAGTTATTTTATTATTATATGGTATCAGTATGGCCTCACTATGCACTAATCACAAAATAAAAACTTTTAACAAATAGAATAGAATTAACTTTGCTAGTGCTACTCGGCTTTTGAAATTTTTGATGGTTAACTTTTAGTGTTTCAAAACGGTTCCACTCTATACAATTTACCAAAGTTGGGTTATAGAGAAAATGTAAATTAGTGAAGTTATTCAAATGCAACCTAGACAAGTTTAAATATCCTCTATAGCACTAAATAAACTAAAACTTATCGCAAATTGTTCGATTTTCCTTGATATCCAATAACTTGATACAGAAACTTGGTATAACACGTTCCTTAAAAGTAATGGCATTTTTCTCTATTAGCAGTTATTACTGAAACCAGCCAACAGAGAGCGTAGAGTACATTTGTAAAATACGGTGACGTACTACTCAAAACACAATGCAATTAATTAAAAAATAGTAATAAAAGTGAAACCATTTTGCCAGAAGGGGTTAAATTAGTTTTCTGCAAGTTTATTTCACGGTTTTCCTATTTTGGTAACCTATGAAAATATTAAACACCGCCAAGTTGAGCAGCTAAAGTTTTACTATTATTACAAGTTTTACGATGGCGGATGAGTTAACGCAAGAGCAAATTGATGATTTCAAAGAAGCTTTTACTTTGTTTGACAAAAATGGTGATGGACAAATTAGCCTTTCAGAATTAGGTCAGTACCCTTTTATTTATACTTTAAACAAACGTTGACCATCCTGCCATTTCTTGTTACTTGTGCTCGTGATAATTAAAAGTGTAGGCGCATATATATAAAAAAGAAGTTTCTTTTAGTAATTAATATTTAACTTTTTAAGGAGGTTTTGGGGGAGAGAGGGATATTATAACTAACAAAATCACTATTTGAGATGTAAAAATTTGTATACCCAAAATAGTTGAAGTATATAATAAGTTAAAATAAATTAATTATAGCTTAGATTTTCTCATTTCCGAGTTATATATTTTTTAAGCTACTAGTTAAATAATAAATTACTAGTATTCTTTTAAATTACTTGTAAACTTAAAATGTAAGGCTTTTACTTTTTTCGGTTTACTTTAAATCACCGTGTTATATACTCTTAGGTTCGGTTATGCGCGCTTTAGGACAGAATCCCACTGATAAAGAGTTGGAAGATATGATTTCTTCAGCCGATCTTGATGGCAATAAAACAATTGACTTCAATGAATTTCTTCAGACGATGGCGAAAAAAATGAAGAATTATGAGGAAGCTGATGAGCTTCAAGAGGCTTTTAACTGTTTTGATACGAGGCGTTGTGGCTATATAAATGCTCAAGATCTTATGCAAGTCATGAGCAGATTAGGTTTTCGTATTTGTAAAAAGTTTATTTAGTTTTTATAGTTTACTTTTTTGTTTTACTTTTTACTAAAGGCGAAAAATTATCAAAAGAAGAAGTGGATGAGATGATAAAAGAAGCTGATCTAAACGGCGATGGAAAAGTAGACTTTAAGGAATTTTGTGAAATTATGAAAAAGAAAAATAGCACTTCTAAAGATTAATTGGACACAAAATCTTAGGAAAATTCAAACTATTTTATTTAATAAAGTTTTACTAAAGAATTTTAAGTTTTAAATTTTTTGTTTACTTTTAAAGTTTTTTATTTAGTTTAATTGATCATTCTATTATACTATATATGAAAGAAAATTAGTGAGTAAAAATGAGAAGCTTTTGCAATTATTTTTAAAGCTAATCGCTTCAAAGTTAAAAAATAGCATTTATAAGGATTAGTTCGACGCTGAACCATGTCAAAAACTTATATAATTTCACGCCATAGATCAGTTTTACATAATTGTTTACTTAAAAAGCATTTTTTTTAAAAAAATTTGTTTAATAATATATTTTTAAAAAAAGGCAGTAAGAAGCAGTACCTTTTGCAACAGATTTAAATTTAAGCAAGCAACTTTTGTTATTAAATGACGAAGCTCGTAAATTTCGGTTTTATTTTAAATAGTTAAACTTTATATATATATATTATTATATTATTAATAAGAGAAAACTTATAACATTTATTCCACTAGAATTATGCAGGCTAACTATAATGAAAACTATTTACCTTGCAGTTCACGCTCCTTAATAATTTTGCTTGCTACAGTTTAATTTCGCCTTAGAAAAGCTTAATATAAATTAGTTAAAAAAAGGTTTCGGTGCAAGATTCCTATCGCTTATAAGTATCAGAATAAAAATTTAACTTAAACTAAAAATAAAAGTTTTAGATTTCTTCTTTAAGTAAGGTCGCAACAGTTCCTGAATAATTATTTCTAAAACTAAAAAATTTATTTGTGATTATAAAATCTAAAAAGATTTCTCAAAGGAGTTTAGTAAGTTTTCTAAAGCCAATTTATAAAGTAGGAAAAATACGATAATATTAAATTATGTTGCCGAACTTTGTTAATTGTCAGTTTCTCAAGAATAATCCGGAATAATAGAAAAATAAAAAAAATATATTTGAATTACTCTGTATAAGGATAATCCTTCATATTTTTTCCCTCTTTTTATTGCCTTGTATAGACATCGTGATTCTAATTTTATAATGGTTGTTTGCCCTAGTAATTCTAATTTATTAAACTAAAAGGGAAAGTTACTTTATTACCTTCCTATTCTCACCTCATTTAGGCAATGTTTAGGTGTTTTATGATCCGGCAAACTAAGTATTAAAGTCCTTTTTTTTTATTGTGTTTTTATTCTCGTTGCTATTTAAGTTCAATTGCCTAGTACTTTTAATATTTTAATATCGTCGCCCAAACTTTACCTAAATCTGATAGGTTACGCACTCAAACTTACTAGAGTTTAACAGTTAAACTTGGACAAGAAAAGAGATATATTTTAGAACAAGCTATATATTGCCCTCAATTTAGTTGGAGATATCGACGTAAGAAAACTTGCATTTTATAATTAAAATTAATTTTGAATAATAGAGTGTTTCTAAATGCTAGAGTTAACAAAAAAAACAACCTTCTATAACCGAATATTTTGATAAAATTTTTACTTAATTTATAGAACTTTACTGAATAAAGGGGCCCAAGAGGGAATTATTGTCTTTTTGCTCATTGATTTTTTAAAGGAAAAATGCGTTTTACCTTCTTAGTATTCTAATCTTTATATAGTTTTTTTTTGTACACTCAATTGTTCATACTTTATTATAAGTTTATTCATATATATTTTTCTGTTTTTCTATAAAAAATGCTTAAGAGGCTCTTGAGGTTTTTAATAATGGTTTTTTAATAACGTTATTTTTTTTGTAAAGTTCCTTCGCACATGCTTTTGCGATATAATTTTTTTTTTTACTTCTTCCTTAATAGTTAAAAGATTAATAATAAAAATACAGACACTAATTATGTCAGTCGATAATTACCATATTATATAATAAATATCGGTTAACACAAATTATTTAAAATGCCGTTTATTATAAATATGTTTTAGATCAATTGGTTTTTCTATTATACATATTTATTCAAAGTTTCAATTAAACTGGATGCGTGCTCTATATATACAAGAAACCTGAGCCGATCATTCTGTATTTTTTCAGTCAATGGTTCAAATTCTAAAAAGAATTTAGTAATTTTTGGTTTCCTTTTATGTGTAAAATTATATTAAATGTAAGCGTTAATTAAATATTTATAATAATATTATAATTAAGTAAAATAATGTAGAGTATAAATTAATAAATAGATAAGAATTAGAGAAACAAAGGGAGAGCAAGGAAGGAGTACGTTATTGACCTGTCTTTGGTTCTGTACTTAAACCTTTACAAAAGGCCAAAAATGCTTCCATATTTGTTTAATAAATTTAGTGGACCAATATTAGTTTTTATAAACTTTACTTTGTTTGGTTTGTATCCAATTAAAAAAGTAGGTCAAATTATTTTGTAGGCGGTAAAATAACTGATACCCTTTTCATGGTTAGTGTATATTGTTTAATGTAATATACTTCTTGTTTTTGTGTTCCATGTTTTATGTTTCTTTTTAATTTTTTTTTACCTTTTGTGTTTTGAGCTGTGTTTTAATGTTTTTGTATAAGGTGATAGTATTTTTTCTTGTTACATTTCGCTTTGTTATCTTTAATTCCCTTTTTATTTGAATTCCTTTTTTTTTCAGGGGTGTTATATTTCACGGGGTTAGATTGAATAGGGTTAAAGAGTGGCTGTACTCTACTTCTTTGTTTAGCCGAATTAGGTCCACAGGAAGATGTAGTATTAATTTTAAACAGACTTCTATAACGCAGATTTGTAATTTAGTATGGGAGCACCAAGTATTGGGACGAAGTTTTAAGATTTAAAATTTTCATTCACAATATCTTTTATAAGTTTTGACATATCCGGTTTATTCGTCGGTAGCTCCAAATTTTTTAGAAAGTCAAGTGACCCTGTAATTGTGTTTACTTAATATTGTATCTCAACATAAATACTACGTGTTGGATTCGTATATAGAGTTACTTCGTTAAAGACAGTATTTACGACCCTCGGTACTTGCAAACCCTTTTTATAGTTAAGAGAAAGGTGCAGATAATTTCTTACTTTGTTTCTTTTAAATTAAAAGCAAATTCAATGTCCGCGTAGTCAATTTTACTTTAAAACAACTTAATTGCAGCACAATGACTACTTATTGAAGCATTCGGGAAAGTTTCCATATACTTTTCTTTTTTTCTTGCAAGAATTCCTCCTATATTTCTTTGACATCCGCAATTTGTGCTCTCCATTTGATTTTTACTGATAGTGCTTGTTTATAAAGCCAAATTTTGGATTTTGGAAAAGGAACTATTTTACTGGTGCAATCTATTAAGCGTTTTCTAGGGTTAAACGGAGAGTAGATGTTACTATTGTTAACGTTCCGTACTACATAAGAAAATTATTATTCCTGGTAAATTAACATTTTTTAAATTATGTTCCTTAGAAAAATATGTTACTTGTATAAAGAACCACTAACGGGAAACTCGAGCGAGCAATTTAGCTTTTTAGTAAAGGTGCTACATAAATTATCCTTTGGAAGAAACGTGGAATCGGAAAAAATCATTTAAAAAATAAATTTCCTTCTACAAAAAACTTCTAAATATATTAGTTATGAGCCCTTCTAACGTGACGTTCAAAGTTTATTAACAATCCAGAGACTTTTTATAAAAATTTGGACTAGATTACAAGTTAAAAGAGGGCACTCGCACGAAGGACAGACCAGTAGTAACGAATTAGCCATTAGCAATATTGCCTAACCCTAACGCAACACTTAAAAGATGAAGCCTTTCTACGCCAGAAAAGTAAGGGTCGAAGAAGAGTTAAAATTAGACAACACTGTTTGTCGTGTTTAAACACTAAAAACTTATATGGGCCTGGAAACGTAGTAGGGGTTGAAGATAACAAGCACATAGTAAGGATGGACGGCAAGGCCCAAAGGCATTAACTGCACAAATTATTGGAGCTTCTTTTTAATCCTGAACATTCTCATAAGGAAGAACTGTTAACTTTGAAAGAGAACAAAACGCAATTGGCTGGCAAGGGCGATGGCGGTGATACGTTGTTGTATAGAATATAAACCGATTTTAAATAACATAAAGGTAAATTAACTAGAATTAAACTGAGTGTAATAAAATAAAGGAATTAAGAATTAATCGAGATAATAAAAATAAATTATCAATTAAATAAACTGATCCAACTTGAATATAACCAAATAATACAATAGCTATTGGATCTATTACATTAGCTGGAAATCCTTTAACTAAAAATAAGATGTGATAACATAAAATAAGGATACATGCTTAGCTGTTAAACATACAATTAAAAACAAATTATAAAATATAATTCAACTAAAATAATTTACACAATATAAAAATCTAAGTTTATATACAATATAATTCAATTTAATAAAATAAAGTTAAATCTTATGAAATACAATAAATTTATAAAAATCATTCAGTATTTAAAAAATTTAGACAATTCGATGTACCCTTCGTAAAAACCTTAGAAAACTAAAAAGTATTTTTTAGTGGGCATAAATGCGCTTTTGTCATACAGAAAATCTAAATTCTGGTCCGTGAGCCAGGCTATTTATTAAAATAAAAAATATTTTAGAACGTGGTGGTTAATTTACTCTTCAAAGTATTGATAGAAACAACGAGCCCCCGCAGAGCTTTAGACATTTTGCTCTCCGCTCTTAAGTGGCGGACCTTATAGAGGTCTAAGGGGAGGTCTAAATACTTGTAGTGTATATTAATATATTTTACATAAATTTATATAATTATTTACTTTAAATATTTTATATATGCTGTATTAACTATTACCTATCATAGTGCCAAATGGAGAATAGCATTCCACGTATAATTGCTATTTAAAGAACTGTTCAATTAAAACTATTATTATGCTACATTTTAAATATACTTCCGTTAGATTGAAGCTTTTTAACGAGGGTTAGAGGGTCAGTGGAGCTCAGATTTTGTTTTTACATTAAACCGGAGTTATTTTTTAACTTCAATAGAGCTTACCTGTCAAGAAGCCTTTATGCTTAACTTTAGG